ACATCAATAGACTCGTTTTCTTAAAATTCAACATTGATTTATTTGCAGTTAATATTAATTTTTTTTTCTGTTTTTTTTTTTTTTCTGATTGTTATTAGTAAGAGCTTTACTAATAGCAATAAAAAAAAAATTCTTTCACACTTTATTTGAAGACATTCTTCAACATTATGAACACTCAAAAAATGTTTTTAGATTCTATTACAGTCTTCATGACAAATTTTCAAAAACTTATTTATGCAACTACATCAGAGGAGTAATTATAAATTTGGGGCCTACCTGCAAAAAAAAATATCAGAGCCCTTGCCCCCAAATTTTTTTTCTATTACATTTAAAAATAAAATATATTTATATATTTTCAGTTTAACAATGCAATGACACAACAGCTATACTATCTTCAGACGTGAAGATAGTATAGCTGTTCAATATAATAATATGTTCAATATAATAAAATGCCATCAAGAATTGAAAAAAAATGTAGGAATTTCATAAGTAAATTTTTATTCATTTAACTTTTCCTTAAACATGAATTTTTCTTGCGTTCTCATTCTCAAATTCCGCAATCTTATTTTAATGTTTGTGCTTTTTCGTTTTCTATTAGCAAAAATACTTTTTGATTAACTTTAAATTGCTAAAGGATCTTTCTGCACTAGCAACTGCTAGGTATTGTTATCAGCGGCAATGTTGCTGTGTTTACATCTTAAAAATCGTACTTCATGAAACTGTATTTGATGAAGAGTATGTTGGCTAAATCTTTTATTTTAGTTGTTTCCGTGATATTATCTTTTATAAAAACATTTAAACTAATTAATTGGGTTCGAAAATGTTTTAAAAATTGTTTGGACAACTCTGGTGTAATTATTTAGCTGATTCAATTAGATCATCTTTCGACCAATAAGATCATCTTTCGGCTAATTAGATCTTCCAATAATTTTATTAAGTTTTGAGGTTGCATAAAATTTTTTCAATCACAGTAAATCTTTTACTTATAATCAGTGCCATGGCAAGTGGCTTCCCAAATCCTGCCATAAGAACCCCAACATTTCAAAACATTTTCCACTAGGTATTACCAAAAAAAATAAAAAAACAAGCTCTTTAAATTTGTAAAAAAGCCCCAAAAGTTTTTAAATGGGTCACCTATAATTGGTGCCCCCTTCCTCCTAATAACTGCATGTAGAAATAGCATCTGATTTAAATAAATTGTCGCTTTCAAAATCTTTTTACTTGAATTTCAAATTACCTAAAAACATTTAGATTAAACGACTTTTTTTTGTTGATGTTTTTAAAGCATAATCTTACATTCATTAATTTGTGAAACAGAATTACGCAAATAAAAAATAAATTCAAACTCGGTGTAGTTAAGGCGATTTACAAAATATTTGAATGCTTTTATTTGGAAGTGGCATGGTTTTGTCAGCATATTATGCCTAAAAAAGATCTTTCAATATTACAATTTTACAGTATTACAATATTACATTTTTTTTTGCTAAAGGTTTTTATAATACTTAAAGAAACTTTTCTTTTTTTTAATAAATTTTCAAAATCTTTTTACTACCCGTAATAATGTATCTAAAGAACACTATTTTGGAGTCTTTAGATCAATTCCGCTCATCGGTATTAACATGAACTTAGTTAAAATCTTTTTGAAAAGTTACTTAATTTACTACAGATCTTAGTTCTAATCAGTTCTGACGTATTTTAACTATATATAGTTGTCAAAACACAATATTTCTATCAATTTTCACAAAAAGTACTAAAATTCTGACCAAGAAAGAGCTTTTAAATATAGAAAATTGCTAATAAACGATCAGAAAAGATCATATTGTTAAACTATAATGTTCATTTCACCTAAAAAAAGTATTAATATAAAATCTTATTTAAATTTGGACGAGCGATTGTGGTTTTAAGATGATTTTTTTTAAAAAAAAAAAATACCACGGTCTGGGTTTTTTCGCTAAAAACATTTATATTTTATGATGGCGCAAAATTTATTATTCGTCTTTTCATAACTCAAGACCAGATCAAACGGAAATATGTCGTAGTCAACAAATCATACAGATGCTATAATATTTTAAAAGTGCCTTGACTACACCGAGAAGTTTGATATTTTGTCCCTTGATAACAGAACTTTAGTTTGTTCTTCTCTTTTTGAAGTTTTAAAGAAATTAATTTTAAATTTTAAACTAAATTTATGAATAAAACTAAAAAAAAAAAATTTATATGAAAAACAGTATTTTAAAACATAAGATTCGTAAATCTCCGCGGTACCCCCGGGCTTGAAATTAAAAATTAAAACAACTGTGGAATGCAGCTATTTTAAAAAATCCAATGTTTCTTGACCCCAAAAATAAACTTTATTTTTGGGATCAAGAAATATTAAATTTTTTAGATTGCAATAGTTTAAATAGATGCATTCTATAGACTTTTTTTTTTTTTTCTTTATAAATCATTTACATTTCTTATTTGGTGAAATTTGAGCTCTTAGAGATTCATTACTTCCTTTATTATAAAGGAAATAATGAATCTCTAGGAGCTTAGGGTTAGGATTAGTGTTGGGTAACCCTATATTATAAAGGAAATAATGAATCTCTAAAAGCTCAAATTTCACCAGATAAGAAATATAAATGATTAAAAATTTGTTCAAGCAATTTTTTATTCCATTCTTCTAGAAATTAAATTTAATGTACATATTAAGTTATATCAATTTTAGGACTAAAAATAAATTTTCAACATTTTAAATACAATTTTGTTTGCAAATGATACCAGCTTGTTTTATTCCAATAAAGATATTAATATGTTATTCAAAACAGTGAATAAAGAGCTAGACAAACTAACCTAATGGTTTAAATCAAACAAGTTATCTTTAAATATTACTAAAACAAAATATACTTTATTCCATTGCCTACATAAAAAATCAGATATTCCCTTGGAACTTCCGCACCTTTTTATTGAAAATCAATTAATAATAAGAGAGCAATCAATAACGTTTTTAAGCGTGTTTCTAGACGAAAATGTAATCTGAAGAGAACATATAGGTGTAGTTGAAAATAAAATATCAAAAAATTTAGGCATAATGTACAAATCTAAGCAGTTATTAAATCGATCTTGTTTAAAAAACATTTACTTTTCTTTTATTGATTGCTACTTAAGTTATGCGAACATTGCTTGGTGTAGCACTAACGCGACAAAAATAAAAGAATTGCTTAGCAAACAAAAACAGGCGATAAGGATAGTTTTCAAACGTAGATCGTTTCTCACACACACAAACGCTATTTAATGAACTCAGTATCCTAACTGTATATAAACTAAACCTCTATCATGTTCTTCTTTTCATGTTCAAACTTGATAAAAATATATTACCAACCTTATATTATTCAATTTTGAAAAAATAAATCACTTATACCCTACTAGATTTTCAAAATACAACTATATTCAATCCAAAACTTATTATTCTGCTCTAAATTCTCTATTGTAAACCAAGGACTAATGTATTAAATTTTTTTAATTAAAGCTTCTTTAAGTTAGAAATCAATAATTAACAGTTAATTAATTAATTACTTTAGAATATTAATACATAATTAATCAACATATGTACATATATTTTTATTATTTTAAATGATAATCTTCTTTTTGATAAATTTGTTTTTTATTTTTGCATTATTAATCTTTTACTTTTATTTTTAACTGTTTATTTGCTTTTACTTTATTGGCAGTGTAAAAGTATTATAAATATAATTAAGTAAGTTAAATTCTAAACTGCTCTAACAATAAAATGTTTTTTATATAAAATCATATCTTTTTATTTTTCAAACTAATTCTTAAATGTTGTTTTTGTCATTTTAATATTTTTATTAAATTTTGTTTCTTTTATTTTAAAAAACAATTCTTAAATCATATTCTTTGAAAAACTATAAATTTTAAACGATATGCAATATATTTATGTTTTCTTTTATAATATAAATCAGAGATATATACATTGAAACTATATTTTATTGTTAAACTATATTTTGTCTAGTAATGATGCTTTTTTGGGGGTTAATGATAAGACAAAATTTGTCTTCTAGCCCCAGTCATGTAAATATTTTTTTTATAAGTTACGACTGTAAATTTTTTTTATTGGCAAAAAAAAAAAAAAAAAACAGTGTACAAGATGAAATAATTTTTATTTTACTAAAAATGCTCTGAAAAATTAATCTCAATTGGGAGAAAAGTTTTTAGCTTGCAAGTCTTTCTGCATTTGCTAAAATTTTAATATTGTGTATCAAAATCAAAACTGTAGTTTTAACAACCGCAGAAACTTTTAACGCTTTTAACTTTTAACGATTTGCAAGCTAAAAAACTTTCTTTAATTTTTCAATAGATTTTTAGGGTCTAAGATTAATTTTTTATTTAAGAAATACATTATTTAATTTTATTAAATAATGTATTTCTTTAGTTACTTTTTATATAATTAGGATTTTATATATTTTTAAAAGCACCATTAAAAATGTAAAAATACCATTTGATTCATATAATATGAATCAAATACCCAATATGGTATTATTACATTTTTTATTTTGCATTTATACATTTTTCATTTTTACATTTTACATTTTATATTTTGCTTAGAGCTTTTTTTTCTCTTTCACCACAAGTTTTAAATCTAGGTCAAAGCAATTAGGTCCAAACACTAGTTGATTGGCATATTGCATGAATAACATTTTTATGCATCAAGCATGAAATATTTGATGCATGCAAAAGTTATTCAGAGTTAAAGTTTAGGCAGATAATTTTGAATTTGACATAAACAATAATAACATACATTACTTAGACATTACTTACATACAAAACTAGTATTATAAAAAGGGATTTTTCTTAGATTTTAAATAATTTATTGCCTGCAAATTAGTATGTGTGTGATGCTTTTTGGTTGAGATAAAAAGTATCTACAATATTTGTATTTTAATGCTAACATTATTTTTACATATTTTCATTGTTCTTATTAAAAATTATTTTTTGTTTAGGTTCCATTGACGTTATCGATATTTTTCAATTATCAAACCACAGCTACTTTGCCCAAACACAAGGGTTTTGTTCACCAAGGCTCATTGATGGAAATTTATACGAAGACACATCTTTTGTTACTTTAAAACCATTTAGCGCCTCAAAGGTTATAAATGGACATTTCAATACTAATCAAATTTCTATAGTTGCCACTCTTAAACTTGTAGATTCTCTTATTAATGAGTTTTATCTTCTTCAGTTTACTTATTCTGACAAATGGATAGGCATTAGAATTGGAACAACTATATTTGTTGACTTTTATTTAAAAAAAATTTATTCTTACAAGTTTGATTATGAGTTAAAAGATAATAGTTGGCACAGACTTACTTTTTCTGTAGAGAACACTACATTAGAGTTTTTTGCAGATTGTGAATTTATAGGAAGATTAAACATTGATGTTGAATTTTTTGTGAAATCTAGTGAACAAATAACATTAAATATTGGTAACTCAGAAAATGAAAAATATGATTTTCAGGTTTGTTTTTTATTGTATTATTGTTATTTATTTACTTTTTTAATTTGTTTTTGTTAATTAATATTTTTTTTTCATGTAACTTTATAAATTATTAAAGCTAATAAAAAATGTTTCTAACTTTAAAAACAAAAAACTTAGCTGTATATGTTACTGTTATCCGCATTACCATGAATTACTTAAATGCTAATGTTTATAATATAGTTTAATATTACAACTCTGAGTTTCATGTTTTACCACAATCATCAAGTAGTAAAAGTTTAATTTTGCTACGATTTGTTTAGTGGACGTTATGGTTTATATTTGTATTATGGATTGTTCCAGGACAGAAATTGATTAGTAGTTAGGTTAATAATATTATTAATTTGTTTTTAGTTAGCTAATAGTTGTGAAATAGTTATATTTAATGTTGTTTATGTGATAATTTCCATTATTTATGTATTAATAAAAATTAAAATTAAAATTGATATAAAAAAATATATAGAATTATGAAATATATTACAATAGCTGTGAATTTGAGTAATTTATTAGTTAGTCTTGAGATATATGGAGTAGATTAATATAGTTATTTTTAGTTGTTATTTAAGTTTGTAGGTAGCTTTGTGATTTTTTAATAAGAATTTAATTTCGTGGTTGCACTTTGATATAATTTCGATTCTTTTATTGGTAGTTCCTCAGGCTTTGGATACGATATAATAGCAAATTTCTCATACAGACAGACCGGGTACCTTTGGGAAGTATTTAAGTAGGGAGATACAGACTTGAGAATAGACCATGTTAGTAAAGGGGTTTCATTAAAATTGTTTTTTAAATCCCAGACGTAGTTTGATAGAATGGACTTTTTTTATTTAATATTGCTGAATGATGACTTGTGGTTGTTTTATCTAGTTTTCCACTCACCTTCCGTTAATCCAATATAAACTTTATTGGTTTGGTTTTTTGCTGCGATGATGCATTTATATATAATATTTATGGATTTGCACTTACCATTCAGAGGGCATTCTGCTTTGTTTTTACAATCACATTTTGAGTCATTATTTCAATTCTTGGGAAGATAATTTTTTTGTGGTTTTTTATAATTTTTTCTATATTTTTCAGTGCAACTGTAGCTTACCTTTACAGTGCTTCTGTTTTTATTTTTATTTATTTTTTTATTTTAATTCACCTTTTCAAGGCCGAGAAGGCCACTACAGACGAGGAGGCTACTTATTTGTGGGTATAACCCTCTCTCAACTCTATAACTCCAAAACACGAACCTTGACGAGCAAGGCTGCTGCGCGGAGAAACGAGTTGAGCCCGGTACTACCAGGGACGTGGTGGGGATCGAACTCGGAACAACTCGTTTATGAAGCAAGCGCTCTACCACTACACCACTACCGCACAATATCGTTTATAATTTTGTGAAGTTTCTTTGTCTTAGGGAAGTTTTTTTCAATTAAATACAATAATATTTTTGCAACATTTTATTAAGACATTTTTATTAAATGGGGGTTGAACCATATGATATTGCATTTACGGTTTTTTAGGGGTATTTTTTGTTTGATCTGATATTTAAGGGAGTAGTTTTTATATCCGCTATTTTTTAGTGCTTGTTCATATTCGTTTTTAGATTGATTAAGTATAACTTTACAATAATTATATAATAATGCGGTAGTGGTGTAGTGGTAGAGGCGCTCGCTTCATAAACGAGTGGTTCCAAGATCGATCCCCACCACGTCCCTGGTAGTACCGCGCTCAATTCGTTTCTCCGCACAGCGGCCTTGTTCATCAAGGTTCGTGTTTCGGAGTTATAGAGTTGAGAGAGGGTTATAGCGACAAAATAAGTAGCCTCCTCGTCTGTAGTGGCCTTCTCGGCCTTGAGGAGGTGAAGTAAAATTAAAAAAAAAAAAAAAAAAATACATAAATAATCGACATTACCACATAAACAAATTTTTTAAACAACATTAAACATATTTATTTCACAACTATTAGCTTACTAAAAACAAATTAATAATATTATTAACCTAGTAATCATGCTTTTGTAATATTATTAAACTTGTGTGCATGTTTAATAATATTACAAAAGTGTTTATATATATATATATATATATAATATATATATATATATATATATATATATATATATATATATATATATATATATATATATATATATATATATATATGTATATATATATATATATATATATATATATACATATATATATATATATATATATATATATATATATATATATATATACATATATATATATATATATATATATATATATATATATATATATATATATATATATATATATATATATATATATATATATATATATATATATATATATATATATATATATATATATATATATATATATAACTATATATATATAACTATATATATATATATATATATATATATATATATATATATATATATATATATATATATATATATATATATATATATATATATATATATATATATATATATATATATATATATATATATATATATATATATATATATATATATATATATATATATATATATATATATATATATATATATATATATTTATACACATATACACATGCACACACATTTATACATATACATAATTTCAGGGATTTCTTCAAGATTTGAGAGTTTTTCCTGACAAGAGACCTGCACCAAGCTACTGTTCTGTAATAATGCCAAACTGTGATGTTAAGCAATTCATAGCAAATAAATTAACTCAGGTATCTCAATGATTTATTTGTAAGATTGTAAAAAGATTAATTTAAAGTTTTCTAAATTACTAAACAATGTGTTTAATAGCTTCAAAAAGTTGCATGTAATTTAATATTTAATTTTATATGTTTTACTAATCCAAGATAATGCTAAAATCCCCCAGGTAATATTCATTAATTTAATTTACTTTTTAAATAATAAATGTATTACTTAGGCAAATTTGACAGTGAAAGCTGTGATATCTTATTTAATTATTTTTTTTTTACTGTTTTACATCTTTATTTACAGGTATCATACATTGCTTTTAAAGCATTTAATATTATTTCTTTTTTTGTTTTTTCTGAAAAAAATTAATTTGAAGTTTATTTAAATTCTGGGTTAGCATTAAGTTAATTTATTTATAACAAGATAAGCTGTATCTTAAATTTGATTTTTAAAAAATATTTCGGAGGCCTTTTTGAGGTCAATATTATATTAAGGCTAATTTTGATGTACAAGGGTGGGCCTAAGGTTAGAATGGAAGGTATTGGATGATTTTTTCAAATCAATCTTGCCTCTTCTCCAAAAAAAAAATAAATAAAATAAATAAGACTCTTGTTCTCTATGAAAAATTCTAAAGTTACATTTTTCTCTTTTGGAAGATTCTAAAACTTAATAAAATAATGGTTATTAGAAATAACACTTATTTTATTTCTAAAAACCATTTTTTTCTTTTCTAAATAAAAGTTTAAAAATGATCATTTATACATTTATTCAACTTGATGTGTCATATAATTTTATCTTATACGGAATATGATGGAAAGGTAATTATTTTTAAATTTGTTTACCCATTTTATAGTGATAATATAACAATTGTTCATTAGTAGAATATAATCAAATACCTCTGGGAAAATTATTATCAAACCCCTCTAGTAAAATTTTTATCAAACTTCTCTAGGAAAATAATTATCAAACTCCTCTAGGAAAGTTATTATTAAATTCCTCTAGGAAAGTTTGTATTTTTAAATATAGAAAATTTTTATTCTAACAGAAGCAATGAAATAATGAGGGAAAAAAGACTGTTTAGGAAAAAGCAGAAAAACTTCTGCCACATAAGGGGTAGTCGGTAAAATATGGGGTAGTCGGTAAAATATGGGGTAGTCGGTAAAATGCAAACTTTGAATCCCGAGCTGCGAACCAATAAAGTGCAAATTTTATTGTGAACCATAATTCTAATTGTTATTATTGATTGTTAATGATGTAATGTTTTTCATTTTTTGTTTGTTGTTAAATTGTTTATTTAACTATTTTTTTTATGGACTTCAAGCAGAAACATAAATTATATTTATTTCAAAAGAAATACAATCTAATTTAAATAAAATATATTAAATAACACTATATCTATTTTAAATTAAAAAATTGACTAACAAACGCTTTTTTAAATATCATAGTTGTAGTGGTCATTAAAATATAATGTCTTGGTTTGCATTTTACTGATTACCCAAATTTAGTTAAAAACCTAATAAGAAGAATAGAATTAAAAGAAAAAAATTGGCGAGCACAAAAAAGTGAAGCAACCTTAGTAGATGCTAATTTAGCAATTGATTTTATAAATGGTTTCCATTATGGTTAAGTAGTAAGTACCCTTGAACATGGGGCGAGTCTCTACTACTATAAAAAAAAGTATATCATGTTTAGTTTTTAAAAGTATATCATGTTTAGTCTCATATGAAGCTAAATTATAAACCTGCCATATGTTTAATGGTCTTGAACAACCCCTAAATTTCAATCTTATAACCTAATTTTTGGAATGCAGTGTCATTTTATTACTTAAAACATAATTAGGAGGTAAAAATAAACATTTTCCAAAAATGCTGTTTTATTGGCACCTTATTGTATATGCACTTTGTATAAAACATGAACATTAATAAATTGTCATGGTGTTTAATAAACATAATACCATGGTGTTTAATTGTAAAGTTGAAAAATTAAAAATACAACATGTGTCTATTAGGTTTGTTAAAGTTCTAAAAAACATTCTTTAAAAAGTAAAGTAGGTTTTTGTAATCAGTCATGTTTTTCAAGTATTATCAGCTCTGAAATGGTTTACAAAATGACCGCACCTTTAAATGGTTTTAATACTTTTTTAATTTTTATCAAATACTTTAAAGACCAGAGTTTTTTTTATTGTTTAATGTTTTTTTGTATTTTTAGATAAATGTTCCCCATGAATTATCTGGATCGGGAGAACGAGTAGGTATATATTTTTGGTACATGTTTTTGTCCCCTGATTGTTGGTAAAAATATTTTTTAATGTTATTTACCTTCATAAGACAAAAGGAGCCACTAGAACTAAGGAATCTAGAATATTGTATGAAATTTCATATATTTTTTTTTAAACTTTTATTGTGTTTACAACTGTTATAACTCTATAATATCAAAACATGAACCTTAATGAACAAGATCTCTGCGCAGAGAAATAAGTTGAGCACAACATTACCAAAGACATAAATGGGATTAAACTCTGAATTTCTGATTTTCTAAGCGAGCACTTTACTTTTACTGCTACTGTATTAAAGTTATAACCCTTTATATTATTAACCCTTCTGTTTTCTCTTTCTAGTTGATATGTTTTTGTTCAGTTTGTTGAACAAATTATTAAATAGTTTTTATTGTTTTTAATTAATATTTTAGGTAGAGAAACGAGCTATTGATTCAGTTGGCTTGAAAGGTATCATAAGTGAAAGGGTATTATTCATATTTTTGTACACATATTTTTTATTCATATTTTTGTATACACATTTTTTATAATCTTTTTTTCAACTTTATTTTTTAGGAAGATCTTTTTGTTAGTTTTTTATTACTGTGTTTGATTCTTAAATATTTTTAGGGATTTCATATTTTTAGGGATTTCATGAAACAGCTGAAATAGAAAGATCTCAATGGGACTTTTCTCCTAAGTTCAGTGTTAAAGGCGAACAGGTTGATTTTTCTTTTTGTTAATTTTATTAAAATAATAAGTGTGTAACTTTTATTATTATATTATATTAAAAATAGTAATTTACTCTATTCTGTATTTTTGACTAATAAGTTTAATATGTGTATATGTATTTAAGTCATTTGGGAAAAAAGACATTTAAAAGCACAAATAGCAAGTTAATAACTTAATGAATAATTAAACTGAAATTGAAATGAAAATTGAATTTATATTGTAAGGGAGTCAATGGTTTGATAGGACCATCTGGTGAGCCAGGACCAGAAGGAGAAAAGGTAATAAAGCCTAATTTTGATAAATAAAACAAATAATAATAATTTAAAGTTTTTTGTTTAAAAAAATATCAATTATTACTTAGGGTGATAATGGAGATATAGGATTGCCAGGACCCCCTGGAGAAAAGGTAAGTTAAAATAAATGTAACATTTTTTGTATAAGATACATTATATATATATATATATATATATATATATATATATATATATATATATATATATATATATATATATATATATATATATATATATATATATATATATATATATATATATATATATATATATATATATATATATATATATATATATATATATATATATATATATATATATATATATATATATATATATATATATATATATATATATATATATATATATATATATATATATATATATATATATATATATATATATATATATATATATATATAGGGGTGGTAGTCAAAAATTAAATGTTCAGATTTTGTCTGGGACAATCTCTAGTCCTGTTCCTATTGATCTCATGAACTCATGTGCAAAATTTCATAAAACTATTCCTTCATTAAAGGGTGCCACATGTCAACTGATAAAATCACATGTACGCGATAAAAAAGATAGCCGTGTAAATTAAAGTGTTGTTGAATATTATTGAAATCTTTAAATACATTTTTTTAGAATCTTTAAATACGTTTTTTTTTGAGAATCTGACCAGTTGTTAAATTTATCAACTAATTAATGTTCTGTATATGAAAAATATTTATAAATTTCCAAATACAGATAAAAAAAACAGAAATTTTACTTCATAGCATTTTTAGAAATTTGTTACATTCAAATAGTTAAATTTTTATAGTGTTTAATTATTAATTACTTAGCTGCAGCCCACTTACTTATTTTTTCTATCCCAGAATTTCTTGTAATTTGCCACCAAACCGCCATTTTGTATGTTTATCCCTATCAGACTTTATTAATTATTTTAATTAAAATTTTTTATTTTTAACAATTTTGCAGTGGAATATCTCAATTGTGAAAAGTCAGTATACATTTAAGTTGTTATTTTGTAATATAAATTATATAAACTACTTTGAATTTTATTTTATATAAATTCCTATCTCTAAACTCAAAAAAGATACTGAATAATGGATATCACTGAATATATACTAAATGAATAAAATTTTATAACTTTTGCAATTCACATCATGCTTATTGCATAACTTTATTTTTATTTTTCTAGATTAATAAATATCAGAAAATTTCACAATCAAAACCTGCAACTAGATCTGCAACCGAAATTTACCTTTTCGGTTTCACAAATGCCTCCATTAATGGTACTAGACTACCGTCACGAAAGCAAGCATTACAGTTTTTCTTCCATCAGTTGAAAATAAACAAAAAAACCGTGCGAGAAAGTTCGGACATTACTATTAAAACAGTTGCTGATTTTTGGAACAAAGCTTACATGCCAATGACAACATTGCAACATGCAATTGCGAGGCTAGAGAAAATATACAACGAGTGGAGAAATCTACAAAAGGCTTCAAAAAGAGGAGGAGCAACTCAGATAGCGAAAGAAACAGCCTTTGTTGCATCATTTGAAGATACGTTCGACATTTCTCATGTTGATGCCGAGAGGCTTATACAAAATCCAGAAGACAAACTTTTTCTTAAAGCTCAGCTTGGAAATGGAAGACACTCAAGTTCAATGGCACAAATAGACAGAAAATTGGCAGTCAAGTTGAAGCGTAGACATGAGAGACAAGAGGCTATAAAAGCCAACACAGAACGAGAAGAATTGAGACATGCTGTCAGCAACGGTGAAGCTGTAGTTGAAACATTTGAATCAGATTCAGAAAAAAGTAGCAATGAGAACGTAGATTTTGACCATGACTCAGCAGTGACACCGCAGACAAAACGACCTTGTCCAAAAAATATTGTCAGTCCACAAGTTGCAGCAGCTTTAGATCAAACGAAGATCAGCGAACGAAATGCGGTTTATGCTTTGGCTTCATTCTCAGTTGCTGTTGGTCAAAGCCCAAGTGAACTAGCTCTGAATCGCTGGTCAATTCGACGTAATAGAATGAAACATAGAGACGAAATAATTTTGAAATTGAAGGAAAGTTTTGGTGAAAATATTAGGGATGTTCCACTTGTAGTGCATTGGGACGGCAAGTTACTCCCTGATATATCAGGAAAACATGAAAAAATAGATCGCTTGCCTATTCTTGTTTCGGGTCAAGGTGTAGAACGTCTATTGAATGTGCCTAAGCTCCCAAATGGCACTGGAGAGGTAATGGCAAATGCAGTTGTAACAGCAATCTACGACTGGAATCTTGCAGAGAATATAAAAGCCATGTCTTTTGACACTACAGCCAGTAATTCTGGGATTCGCTCTGGTGCAGCAGTTCTTATTGAACAAAAGATGAATAAAGAGCTGCTCCATCTTGCATGTTGGCACCATATTTTTGAAGTTGTTCTTGGAGATGTGTTTAATTCATTAGCTGGACCATCTACTGGACCAGACATTTTGATGTTTAAAAGGTTTCAAACAGCATGGCCATTAATCGTTCGTGACAGATATGAAGACGGTATATCAGATCCTGAAACAGCTTTAGTTTTTAGCAGCAACAGAGAAATGATGAAAGAAGCTATTGATTTCATTCAGAACTGTTTGCTGACAGAGAACCAGCCTCGTGATGATTATAGTGAACTTTTAGAACTGTCTTTGATCTACCTGGGTCATATTCCTCCTCGCGGGGTTCATTTTATGGCTCCTGGGGCTATGCATTGGGCCAGATGGATGGCCAAGGCTATTTATTCAATCAAAATTTTTCTCTTCAGATCCCAGTTTCGCATGACGAAGCGTGAAATAAATTTATCACGTTTCTTGAATATTTTTGTCTGCTTTGTTTTTTTTCTCAACTCATGGTTTTTTTTTATTTCTCAACTCATGGTTTACTGCTTCGCTGTCCATTCAAGCTCCACTGAATGATCTCATGTGCCTTAAACAACTCACACAATTCAGGACAATAAATTTAAATGTTGCGAATGTAGCGATAAAGGCATTGTCTCGTCATATGTGGTACTTCAGTGAGGAACTGATTGCCTTTAGTTTTTTTGATGATCGTGTTGATGCAGCTACAAAACACGAGATAGTAAATGCAATGAAAACAAAAACTGGAAATGGAATTCCTGCAAAACATGTTCAACTGCGTGAAAACAACATTTCATCATCAGAGCTTGCTGATTTCATTAACTCGAACACCATGAGGTTTTTTGTTATACTGGGCATCTCAACTTCTTGGCTCAAATTGGATTCATCTTTGTGGAATGAGGACCAAGTTTTTATTGCAGCTAAGCATTTTGTAGCCGGTTTGAGCGTTGTGAATGACAGAGCAGAGAGAGGAGTTGCTCTTATCCAAGACTTTAACCAAATTCTAACAAAAGATGAAGGACAAAAGCAAGCACTTCTCCAGGTTGTGTCTGAGCATCGAAAACAGTTTCCAGATGCCAAGAAATCCACTGTTGTTAAACAGGACTAAATAGTCATTTTTCCATTCAAAACAAAATGAAAAACTAAAATGATATTGAAATTATAGTTAATTTTTCATGGTTTTCAATGTTCAATACTTTGTTCAATACATTTAAAAACTTTTGAATTAAAATAGTTTATATAAAAAATTTTTTTTAAAGTGCTTACAGCCATTAGCGTCAACCTTAGTGAAACTTTCAACCCCATGTGGCACCCCTTAATGATGAAATATCCTTCTCAAATTTTGCGCATAAGTTTGTTATGCTAAAAGGAACAAAAATAGAGGTTGTCTCATCAATTTACTTTGAAAAAGTTTTTTGAGCACCACCCTAATATATATATATATATATATATATATATATATATATATATATATATATATATATATATATATATATATATATATATATATATATATATATTTATATATATATACATACATACATACATACATATATATATATATATATATATACATATATATATATATATATATATATATATATATATATATATATATATATATATATATATATATATATATACATATACAAATGTATATATATATATATATATATATATATATATATATATATATATATATATGCATATACATATGTATATATATATATATATATATATATATATATATATATATATACGTGGGTGCATATATGTAAATATTAAAGATGATTTCTTTATATTATCATGTATAATAATGTATATTTTAAAGAGTGCTCAATAGATAAACTAGAGCTATATAGTATATATATTACTGTTACCCGCAGTATCAGGAATTAGCTAAATGCTAATATTTATAATATTATATTGCGACTTAAAGTTTCATGTGTTACCACAATCATCAGGCAAGTAGTCAAAATTAACTTTTATTTATTAATATACCTAATGACTCCGGGTTTACAAAATAATTGTTTCTCTAACCTAAAAATCTTATTTTTTTTCCTATTAGTAGTCCATAAACTTATTTATATTTTTAGAGCTCCTGGGAACCAAAACATAGGATGAAGTAATCTTTTTGTGACTTTCAAATCCAGAGTCTTTTTTGGGACTCCACATCCCTGATATATATATATATATATATATATATATATATATATATATATATATATATATATATATATATATATATATATATATATATATATATATATATATATATATATATATATATATATATATATATATTATTGAAGAAAAAACAACTTTTTCTATGTTACTTTAAGTTTCATGCCTATACGGCAATCATCAGCCATTGAATACCTGTAATATTGAACTGAATTGAATACCTAATAATAATTAATTACAATTAATTTGAAACATGATTCGGAGTTTCACGCTTTATGCAATCATTAAGCATTACAAACAACCATAATAACAATAAAAATTATATACAAAAATACAATACAGTGTTGGGTTAGATAATGGTAAAGTTGCAGATAACAAGTTTGTTTTTGTGGCAGCATTTTGATACTAGCTCATTAAGTTTATTTAATATTTTCAAAGATGACGTAGTGATATGGTTTTCTGTTAAACAAAGATTACATAATTTTTGTCCAGGTTTAAATCCTTTAAATTCCTACCAATAATCTTCCACAT